TCATTCTCATCAGGTATTTTTTCTTTATTGCTTTTTCTTAAATTCATCAGTTTTATACTCATCCCTTTTTAGCTGCTGCTTTTTTTTTTAGTTTTTTTCTTACTTTGTAGTGTTTGTAATAATCCTGGTTCTTGATACTCAGTGAACTCAGTTGAACTCAGTTGGAATCGGAACGAGTTCTTGTTAACTCTATGTTGATGAAATCGTTCACCACACTCATGTGGGGCTTTGATTAAAAGCAAGATTTCTGATTTTAATGTTTCTTAGATCATAAAGATTCGATTTTTATGTACTGATATGTGATATATATATATATATATATATATATATATATATATATGTGTGTGTGTGTGTGTGTATAAGGTGTGAAAGCTTAAACTCCAAAGTATTAAAACTAGAGATCCCATTAAGAAGGATGAGAATTATGTTGTTCTTTTTATTTATCTACGTTTAAAAATATATAAATAAATTAATTAATTAAAAAAGAAAAAAAGAAAAAAAGCCTAAGAGATTTTATTTATACTGCAGGAAGTTGAGAAAGAAGTGCAATCAGTAGAGGTGAAGAAAACAGAAGCAGAAACTGTTTCTGTTTCTCCGAAAGAGGAGGATCCGAAAACCGAGGCACCGCTCCCTTGTGCTGAACCGGAACCAAAGATAGAAGAAGAAAAGAAAATCGAGACTCCTGTAATTGAAGAGCCGAAAATAGTTGAGGTTCCGATCGAAGCGGTTCCTCCTCCTCCGGCGGAACTAATTGCCGAACAAAAAATTGAAGATAAGCCCGTTGAGCCGAAAATTGAAGTTGCTGCTTCTCCGTTGGCTGAATCGAATGAAGAAAAGATCGAATGTGAGAAAATTGAAAAAGAAGAAGGAAAGAAAATCGAGGAAGCTGCTCCTATTGCGGAAAAAGAAATTCAAGAAAAGCCCGTTGAAGCAGTAAAAGCGGTTGAGGTTGTCGAGGAAAAAGTCGAGGAGTTGCCTACTGTGATTGAGGAGAAAATAGCTGAAGAAATCGAGAAAAAACCCGAGGTGGAAAAAGTCGAAGAAGTTCAAAATCCGGTAGAATCGGGAACTCCGATAATTGTTGTTGAAGAGAAAGATGTGGAGTGCTATCCCACTGAGATTAAGTCGGAAGAGAAAGTTGTCGAGCCCGAAAAGCTCGAAGCAGAAGCTGAAGCCCCAGAAGCTAAAGCTCCGGAAAAAAGCGTCGTAACTGAAGACGAAAAGCCAATTGAAGTTGTAGAAAAAGTTGTTGAGCCGGAAAAGCTCGACGCAGAAGCTGAAGCCCCAGAAGCAAAAGCTCCGGAAAAAAGCGTCGTAATTGAAGAAGAAAAGCCAGTTGAAGTTGTAGAAAAAGTTGTTGAGCCGGAAAAGCTCGAAGCAGAAGCTGAAGCCCCAGAAGCAAAAGCTCCGGAAAAAATCGTGGTAACTGAAGAATTGGTTCAGTGTGAAGAAGAAAAGCCAATTGAAGTCGCAGAAAAAGCAGAAGCAGAAGAGAAAGTTGCCGAGCCCGAAAAGCTAGAAGCTGAAGCCCCAGAAGCAAAAGCTGTGGAAAGAAGTATCGTAATTGAAGAAGCGGTTCAGTGTGAAGAAACGCAGCCAACGGAAGTTGCAGAAAAAGCAGAAGAGAAAGTTGTCGAACCCAAGAAGCTCGAAGCAGAAGCAGAAGCTGAAGCCCCAGAAGCAAAAGCTGCGGAAAAAAGTGTCGTACTTCAAGAATCGGTTCAGTGTGAAGAAAAAAAGCCAACTGAAGTTGCAGAAAAAGCAGAAGAGAAAGTTGTCGAGCCCGAAAAGCTCGAAGCAGAAACTAAAGCCCCAGAAGCAAAAGCTGCGGAAAAAAGTGTCGTAACTGAAGAATCGGTTCAATGCGAAGAGGAAGAAAAAGTGGTGCCGAAAGACAGCAAATCTTTGTCTGAAATCATTGATGAAGATAAGGAAGCAAAACCGGAGAAAATCGAGGTGGTGGAGAAGAAAGTCGAGGAGGCTGTAAAAGCAGTCGAAGCGAAGCTGGAGGAGGAAGAGAAAAAAGTCGTCGAGAAAATCGAGGGAACCGTGCTAGCTGTCGAAGCCAAGTTGGACGAAGAGAAACAAGACGAGTGTAATGAAAAAACCGAAGAAGTTGTTACCAAGGAAGAAGTTCCGGTCAAGACGCAAAAGCAGTCGATTGTGAAGATGGTGAAGCAGTCGCTAGTGAAGGCGAAGAAGGCTATTATCGGAAAATCTCATAACTCGAAAACGCCAGCTGTCGCTGAATCGAAGGATGAAGGTAAAAAGTAATGCATGAAAAAGGAGGAGTTTGTGATCATATGATTTAAATTGTTTTTATTTTTGTGTGATATGTTGGGTTTTTTTGGGTTTTAGTTTGATTATTTGTTTCATGTTTGATGTTGGATTTGCCTGCATGAAGTGTTTTCAGTGTTAGGTATACTAGTGTTTTTTTTTTCTTTTTTTTTTTAATTCTTGATGTTATGATATAATTCATTTGGTGGTTTGTGTATTTATCTGCAAGATGATATTGGATTTATTGATTTATTGGTGTATATATATGTGTTATATATGTATTATATATGTTTGTGTGTTATATATGCACATAATACTAGTGAACTTGTCCGAATATTGTAAATTGGAATTAATTTTTCATTTACGAAAAAAAATCATCTTTTTGCAACAGTGCCAATCCTATTCAATCCGTCTGATTTTCACCCCTAATCGCACCAACCTTTCCTCTACAACATTTAATCACATAATTTCTATAAATACTTCTATAATCACATAAGTTCTTTCCAGGACATTGCAATTGGTCGAACATAACCAATCATGAAATTCCATGCACAATCAGACCATTTATTTATTTATTTATTTGTAACGAAGGAACCCTCGACCAACCATATAAGTGTACCGTAAATCTACACTCTCGTATAATAGCTTGCAAACCATACGAGAGACGTAAACCACTATAGATTAATCACGTGTGACGAGCTCGACCTAACGACCAGTGACAAGACAATTTGAAGTTTGGCCATTTGATCCAAACTTTCTTGCTCCAATCGTTAGGCTATCCCTGCGGAACGACGTGGTTTTTTCTGCATTTATAGAGATGAAGATAATGCAATAATTGGAGCATGTGCAATAAATTCAACAACCTTTTCTATCACCTATAACTACACAAAAAATACAATAAATCCTGGTCTGTAACACACCATTTTGTCCACAGACAACCAAATTCCAGAACATGAAATTAAATTGTCCTTTAAAGCAGATATTCAATCAATAAATGCAAAGAACATGAGCACAATGGATTAAATCAAACCTAGATTATAATGACATAAAATACATGTCCAAATTAATTTGAATTGATTAGTAACCACAAAAAAAAAACTTTAAAAAAAAATGAAGGTCAACGAAAAAAATATCATGGAAACGATAATCGTATATAGTTTGATAGTGTGTATTCAAGAATCGGCAGCGAAATACAGTTGATAGTATTATATTCAAGAATCGACAGCGAAATACAGACACGAGCACACAGTCGCATTTGTCGAAACTAAAATGTAAAAAAAATAAAAAATTACAAACGTGTGAAGTACAATAATGTGTGTCAAACCAGGAAATCGTATTAACAAGGGCAAAGACGTAGACATCTCAAACACATCCGCAAAGACCTACTCTACACCGCTCAACACACGAGTCGACTCGTCTTCAATAAATATACAATAAAGTAAGAGAGCAGTCGATTTTTTATTCTCCTTAAAAAAGTACTTCAAAATCAAATTTTGTAGTCTGATATTTCTATCGTTAGAATTTTTTTTTTGACAAACACTACAAAATTAGAGTGTCGTATCTATTGCAAAGTTCGACCACGTACGCAGATAAAAGCCATCAAATCGTCAATTTAGGTGTTTAATCCCGTCCCGGCTAATCATAACCTAGATCAAGAACGAATATTAATTAATTACAAAATTATTAGATAGTAACGAAATTCAAGTGTGCAAACACGGTACACTACATACTATATATATATATATATATATATATATGATTACCTGGTTTTTTGTTAATGTCAGTTTCTGTAGTAGAGGTTACAGCCGTTGTCCCGCTAGCTTCTGCGGCCGTTTTAATTTCTCGTGCTGCAACTTGTTTCGTTATCACTTCATTTGTAGCTTGCATCTGCATTATAAAGAACATTTAAAAAAAAAGGGAACGAAATAAAGTCGAGATGTTTCTTATCTTTAAGGGAAAAATAAAAAATAAACATTTTAAGAGCACAAACCTGATCGGATTTACGGTTGAGTGAGCTGGAAGCTTCTGCATTGCACATCAATGGTGATTTCGCAATCGGAGTCGCATGAGGCTGGCTGGTTGAAGGAGCCAAGGGCGGTCTCGGTACTAAATTGTGAAGTCCTTGACTAGGTTGACCGTACACCGGAAAGTTAGTGGGACCCGGAATTCTCTGGAAAGTCGTTGGACCCGATAGTGGGGGTGCAGGAAAAATCGGATATCCAGAAGATCTACCATTCATGTCGATCATATGATCCATTCCGAATCCCATTCCCATTCCCATGCCCATTCCCATTCCCATTCCCATTCCCATTCCCATTCCGATGCCCATGGGAGGAAAATGTGGAACGTGAGCAGGATGCATTCCCGCGGGGAACATCATTTGTGGCATACATAAACCCGCTCCCATCGACATAATCTGCACAAAACAAATATATCGAACATTTTATTAAGCTAAGGAAATTAAGCCAAAAAAAAAAAAAATAGATCGGAATTATGAGCGCATTTGTCGGGCTTATTTAACAACCTGTACTTGAAGTTGAAGGGTTTTTAGATACTCGATGGCTTCGTCGAGCATTGAAGCTTTATCCGCCTGACAGTAATGAAAGAAACAGTATAGATCACGATAAATCGAAAAAACTACGAAATTTAATAAAAGAATGGAGAAACGAATCTAAAAAAAGTGCATTACCTTATTGCAATTCGGAATGAGTTCTTGCAGAGCGCGCATTTTCTCGTTGATTCTATCCCTTCGCCTCTGTTTGATGACACGTTGCGATAAATCAAGAATCAGTATAAATAGAAATAAAATGGCACAATATATATATATATATATATATATATATATATATATATAGGGTAAACTACAAACACCCCTGAGGTATGGTCAAATTACAAAAACACCCCTCTTGTTTGAATAATTACAACCACCCCCCTCAATTCATCAAATTTAGTGGAATCTTCGAGATTATATGGAATATTATCACTTTTGTACCCGTTTTATCCCATTCAAACTCTACATTATAAAGCAAGATGATCATAATATGTGATTTTTAGCTTGTATATATCAGTTTATAGTGCATCGGAAACTGTATTTTTTACACAAAAAGAGTACAAACTAGATCACATTTCACGGAATCTAGATGACTATGTTGAATTTGGCACCATAGAGATGGAGGTCTAAGTAAAAATCATAGTTGAGGGGGTAGATGTAATTATCCTATCAAGAGGGGGATTTTTGTAATTTTATATATATATATATATATATGTATATATCCCTATATATATATATATATATATATATATATATATATATATATATATGCAAGACAATTATAAGATTTACTATTTCTTGGTTTACCCTTTCGGAAAGATTATGTACTTCTGCTGCTCGGCTTCTCTTCGATCCACCACCTCCGCGACCAAGGCTCGGTTTTTTCGCACCCACAGATTCCGTATCAATATCCTGTGCACAAAAAAAAAAAAGAATTAAGAAAAATTCACAATCAACCGAAAAAATTTAAATAATTAACGATAATAACGACTTACATCACTATGGCATTCCGACTCTTCAATATCACGAAACTTTCTCTTCCTTCTCGAATTATACGTCTGCTCACAAGAAACCCTATCGCCACTATTACCAGAACCCACAGATGACGAAGCAACGACGGGCTCAACGGGTTTCGATTGTTTTTTTACCGAATCGCCATTACTACTCTGAATTACGGGCTTGTCGTTCTTGATTGCATTTTCAACGCATAAATGTTTACTTCTTTCGGTGGGGCACAAGCCTTTAGCTGCTGCATTAAACACCGGTTCTCTTGAAGCAACATCTTTTCGTGTGATATTAAATCGATCAACGAATGCGGATTTCTTCACCAGATTACTCCCACTGGCAGGTGAAGAGCCTTTCTCCCTAATTTCCATCCTTTCCAAAACCGACGAAACCGTCGGAATTGCATCGGGGTTGGAAAAGTTGGATTTGACAAGGGTCTTATCGGGTCTTGCAAAATGGGAGAAATTCATCAAATTCAAATTACTAATCGGTTGCTGTTGTTGCCCTACGGCGTTTGATGTACCAGGCTGCCATGAGCTCAACATATGAGATTTAGAAGACGAAGACAACGCAGAAGACGAACACGTATACAAATTACTAACATTCTGCCCGCAACTACTTTTCTTTTCGGCGGATGGGAAGCTATTTTGGGCCGTAAGACTCGATATTTCGGGTAATTGGGCAAGAGCATCGTCTTCTATAGGATAATTCAACCAAGGAACCATTTCATCGTCCTGGTCAAAATCCAGTTCAATATCGTCCGGAACCGAGTCAACCACATCGAATTTTCCGATTCTTGAATTTCCTAATAACAACCCCGGATCGCGCGATTTACGAGGAGGGCTTTTTGGTACACGGCTGGATTGGCCCTGCATCATGATCTGACCGTTCTCCCACACTAGCTCGACCAATTCATCGTCGGGCCTGCACGAAAAACAACACACGATTATTGTTATTACAAAATACTAACGATAAATCATAGACAAGAATAGGGCCTTACCGAGAAGAGAGATTGGTCGGTTTTTGGTGGCCGGAATCAAGTTGGCCTCGAGCCATTCTCAAGAATTCGGAGAGAGGCATGATGGAACAAGAATTACACAAATGCCACTCAATTTTTTGTTGCTGAAACACAGTAGCTGAAGTATTATTACATTGGTTCTATGATTCCTTGAGATCCATTGTTGTCAAAAACAAATCTTGTCAATGTTTAACTGTGTGAAGACCATATCCACCACCACATTAATACCTACAAAATTCATCGCATATATAAATACAGATATATGTATATGTATATATATATATATATATATATATATATATATATATATATATATATATATATATATATGACCACATGAAAATTCTGCTATTTATAATGGAAAAAACACACAGTACAGAGTTGTTTATATTTGTTTGAGCATGATTAGCTCACCTAGTTATGTCTTAAATCAGCAATATATAGATACATATATAAACAGGTCAAAACCCATTTATTTAATACCAAATTGAGGTTGTTTAAGTTGAAAATTCAATATTTAATATTCAAACTCGATCAAATTCAATCATTAGCAGATTTAACCCACATGAGATTTCTTAAATTATTCAACCCCCCACAAATCTTTCTAATTTAATCTCTCTCTCTCTCTCACACAAATCTTTCTAATTTAATCTCTCTCTCTCTCTCTCTCTCTCTCTCTCTCTCTCTCTCTCTCTCTCTCTCTCTCTCTCTCTCTCTCTCTCTCTCTCACACACACACACACACACACACACTAAATAAACTTCAAGAAAAACAAAACCCACCTCTTAAACCGGGCTCATCAGCACATCTCCCAAGAGATTTACAATTATTTTTTTTCTTGGGAAATATTTCCCAATCGAAATCTTGAAAAGATTTGCACCTTCTTTTTTTCAGTCTGAGCAATGATGATTTTTCTCGAACTGACAAACGGATTTTGCTAATCCAAATGCACGGCGCACGTTTTTTTCAGCAGCCAGCTACTTGGTTTAATCTCCAAGACCGGAAATTCTCTGTTCCTTGAAAATACGCCAGAGAGGAGAGAGAGAGAGAGAGAGAGAGAGAGAGAGAGAGAGAGAGAATTGGGGGAGAGAGGAGAGAGAGAGAGGAGTGAATTATAAATATAGGGGAGTTGTAGAAGGCGGCGAAAGGGTTGCCCAATTTTGGCGGTGGCGGAGCGAAAAGCTAAGAAGCACAGTGGCGGTTTGCGATATATAGAAATATGCTGCCACAACTTATCTACAAAATGCTCAATTTTGCTTAAAAAGTTTCAACTAAAAGTAAATGGGAAATTTTACTAAAACGTCCTCAAAAATGTTTTAAATAACTAATAAGTCCTTTCGCATATTTTGAATTTCCTAGAAGTCTCTCGAACAAATTAATTTGACAGTTTAGACTGAAAATAGACAACTGAGAGTGAAAATGAATAGTTTAGTTGGATAATTTTGACTAAATTAGATATCTTATTTGAAAATAATTTTTCATTGGATATGGATTTGAGAACGGATGAGTTTGGAGAATAACAAATTATTTTCAGTCTAAAATGATTAGTTTATGTTAGAGTCTCTAACTAAGTTGTCCGATGGACTTTTAGCGAAATGTGAATATGATTATTATGATTTGAAAGTGTATTAGTGCTCAGGGATCTGCAGCAAATTGTCCCAAATTAAAGGTAAAATATGACTCGATTTTGAGAATCTTATCATTTAAAAAAAATCATTAGTAATAACTAATTAGTTAAAATAATTACTCTATGAGAGAAGCTCATCTAATTTTTGTTACGAGTAAACTATATATATATATATATATATATATATATATATATATATATATATATATATATATATATATATGTATGTACATACATTTTCGTTGCAATGGAGATTGGAGAGTGTCGCATTAGGGCCAAGAGTATGGGTTGAGATGTTCAATTTTCTGATGTTAGATAAGATTCACTGTATTTTGGTTGTGTTGTTTGCATTTTGAAAAAAAAAAATTCTAAACTAAAATTATCTTCTTCATATATATATATATATATGATTGGGTGAGAAAAGTATAAAATATGTTATCCTGCAGCTAGATTTGATCTTAAAACCAGCACAGCAGAGAAATAGATTCTACTTTCCATGGATTTTTTTTTATATGGTGTCCACAATATTATTATTTATTATTAATTACTTATTTGTGTGTGACTGATTCTCTTCTTCTGTGCCTCAATCATTCGTGCCAATTACTCTCTCTCTCTCTCTACAGTATAAGATTTGGTGTAGTGGGTAGAATTAAATTTATCCATAATAAATTGGAATCATTGTTCTCACTCAAAGAAAAAAAAAATTGGAATCATTGTTCAATTTGTACTCTTAGAAATTTTGTTAGTAGGATAAGTTAATTTCCCTTTATTATTAGTTGAACCGTTAATGACAGCCTTAAATATAATATTCTTAAGTTTCGTTAGGACAGGCAACTGAGCCGGGCCTAACCAATGTTCGATGGTTCCGCTCAATTATATTCGAACCGATCATGTTTTGTGGTGAAGTGTATATTGAATTTGAGTCATTTAACTAAATCCAATTTGTTTACGAGCCGAATTTCAGCTTAGTATGAGGTTTATTTGAGCCTAACATCGTTTAGAGCTTCTTTGGATTGGCTTCAATGGAGGTAAATTTTGTTTATCACTTGTTTTTCATAAAAAAACACTTCACTCGTTACAGTAATATAATAATGAGGCCCGATATAAATCTGAAATCCGAAAAAATACATGGGCCGAGCTTGAACCTATACTAATGATGTCAAATGTTATGTGAATTTAGGCCTATATTACGATGTCCGATGGTATATGAGCTTGAGCCAATTTAAGCTCGACTCTCGTGGTCCAATTTATAAACCTAGCTAAGGAAGGGCAACATCAACTTTTTACCCCACTTCTGTATGCAAACAAAAATAGCAAAGTCAAGAACCTAATCTCATTTTCTTATTAAAAGAAAAAACAAAAGAACCTAATCTCAATCAAATCTATATGAATAATAAAAGAGATATCCTCCTTTTGTTTATTGTTACAAAAAAAAAAAAGAAAAAAATCAAATCCATATGAAAGAAAAAGGTTAATTACAAAAACCCCTTGAACTTAAGTTAAATAACAAAAAATACCCGATCTATCCGTAACAAACAAAATCCCTCTTGATCGAGTTTTTAATAGAAAATGTGTAACGTCCATCATACCTTCTTTTTAATAGGTGATAAATAAAAGAAAATATTTGAAATTGTATTAAGTCTATTCCCTAAAACAAAATAAAAAAAAAATCCATGAAAAGTTACACTGTAAGGGATTGGTGTAAGACAGAAACAGACCTCAGGGGTTTTCGGTAATTACGAATAGGTGGAGTTGATTTTGTAATTTAATCTAAGTTTGGGGGGTTTTCATAATTTACCCAAAAGTAAATGAGGGGATGAGGCATGTCACATGTATCATGTATGTATGAAGCAGAAAGATGATGAGGGATGGGACAATGTGGGTCCCACTATTCAAATGGTTTCCACGTGGACCCTCAAACCAATAAGATTGTGACGTATGGATGCACACCACAATTTTATTTTTTCTTTTGTGTGGTTCAATGTATGTATAAATAATACCCACCAAAAAAAGGTTGGCCCAAGAGATTTGGAGGTGTCCGGATAAAGTGACCCAACGTCGTACGGGGCAAGTGTGGGACTTCACGTGCACCTATGCTAAACCACGTGACTCTTTGTTTATATGTTTTACTTTTATTTGATTTCTAATTTGTATGTATATATATGGATGTGACCAATTCCCTGCCATGTGTATGGTAAATATACTTTCCTTTTTGTGTCCCTTTTGTTAGTTTTTTCTTTTTTCTTTTTTTTTTTTTTTTTTCCTTTTTTAATTTCAACGGTTGAGGATCCAATTCATTAACATATTTTTTGTTTGGCGGCGGTTATATGCAAGTCCATTTTTTTATTAGTTCAAAACAACATAAAGGAGTTTATTAGTTCAAGCCCGTAAATTAATCTAATTTTATTACATCAACACCACAGATGACAAATATACCCTTATCCACAAATAATACTCAAATACAAATAAATTCTATTTTTAATTTGTTCAAGACCAAAAACCAAAAAAAAAAAAAATATATCACGACTACCGCCGCCAGACCGCCGCGACGCCGACCAGCGTGACTCCCACCGCACCGACAATGACCAGCGACTCACCCACCGCACCATTACCATCACCGCACCACCACCAACAAGTATGTCATTTTTACTAAACTTTTGTTTGTAAATTCGAAAACATTAATCGAGCATCGATGTCCTTTTTACTAAATTTTTATTTGTAAATTCGAAAACATTAATCGAACATCGATTCTTGATAAATATGGATGAATGAACATTGATCTATGCTTATTTATTATTGGGTTGCAATGATTTGGCCGATTTTGGAGAAAAAAAATTGAGACTGAAATTGGTTTTATTTTATTTTTTTTCGTTGGTTTCCCAAATCGGTTTATCCAGGCCGATTTTGTACACGAAAATCGGCGTTATAATGCCCATTTTTGTTAACCAAATCGGCAATACAACGACGACTTTACTAGTCAAAATAGGCGTTCTAATATCGATTATTGAGTACAAAATCGGTTTTCGGATACTGATATTTTTTGGATTTTTTTTTAAATAATACATTATATATTTGGTTAATTGATATTTTTAAATATTTGAAACGAAAATGTTTATCACCATTCGGTGGCTTCTACCACTCCTTTAACCCAATCGAGTAGAGTTTTTCGTGTCTCAAATATTTATTCGTTAGATAATTCATTTGAATAATCCTCCATCAATCCCCTAGGTTGATGCACGAAAGTATGAGAAAACGGTCTTATAAAAACACAAATAATAAATCGGTATTTAAAAACCGATTTTTGTAGTACAAGTCGGCATGACAATACCGATAATACAAAAATAAATCGGTATTGTCATGCCGATTTTTACTACAAAAATCGGTTTTTAAATACCGGTTTTTATTAAAATAATCGGAATGTGGTTACCGACTTTAGTAACAAAAGTCGGAATTTGCAAACCGATTTTTGGTATCGTCAAATTTTTTTCCCGACAAAAAAAAACGACCCAAAAGCAAAAATAAACGGTTAAAACATATTTCATTGTGTTCTCCACCCTCGTAAACCACCATATCATTGTTTTATGGTTCCATCGTGAATGTTTGGTATGTATTTGATAATTTTGGTGTGTAGGATTTCTTGTTGGGTTTGTGAAGAAGAAGGAGATTTTTAAGTCGTGAAAGAATAAAGAAGAGAGATTTCTGGATTTATGTATTTTATTTGGTCTTGCATTAAGGAAATGATTTTTTTTTTACTTTTTAATATTTTGTGTTTTTTATTTGATTTTAAATTTCATTAAGGGTAAATTAGTATTTTTATGTTGGAGATCTTGAACTAATAAAAAAATGAGCTTGCATATAACCGCCGCCTTTTTGTTTTATACTTTTATTTATTGGAATAATTGAATATAGTTTTTTTTTATTCACAAAAATTGAATAGAGAAAAAAAAAACAAGAAAAAAAGAGAAAATTTAATTCATCAGTATGAACCTTTGTTGAATTGGGAGTTTTTAAGTAATTAGTTATGATGCACAGAAACTTCTACACACGTGCATTTTCATGTCTTGGAGAGGTATCGGAAATCGAAACATCATGACACATGTCATAAATGTTTTGAGGCAGTTTTCACCAATATTTCAAAGTTTTGGGATGTTTATGGTAATAATGAAAAATAGAAACACGTTACCACCCAAAAAAAATTCCAACACCCGTTTTAAATAAAGACTCGGAATTACCTATTTTTTTATTTTGTTTGATTTGTTGACAAATCAACGTAATTATATTACTGCTGTTGACGGTAAAATTAATGTAAACACAATAATATTACTATCAATCACATCAATATTATATTTTTTTGGCTGTTTATTATGTTTGCTTTAGTTCAACCGTCAACATATTAATATTATTCTATTACAATGATTTTTTT